CCTGAGCCCAATTGCCTTGCCTTAAAAACACAGAGTTCCAGGAGTCCCCACCAACCTCCTTGGGAGCGGATGGTGTTGCCGCCTGTCTCAGGATCCCGGAGCTTTAGAACCAAGAGTATCTGCCAAGCCTGAAACTTTTTCTACTGCTGGGAGGGCCACCGCAGGAGTATGTGGAGGCACCAAGGAGAGCACAGGAGTTCTTGTTTTGGCGATTCACAGGTGCACTCCCAGGGTGCAACAATGCTTGTGGGCTGTTTTTTTGGGGGGTGAAGGGGTGCTATAGGGCTGGGGCTTGAAGCGATGGTGACGCGCAACATCAGAGACATGATGGGACTTTTGATGTTAGTGTGCGGATGCTAGTGATAATTGTTGGCAGGATGGCATCAGGCGACTGTTGTGACGCTGGAGACTCCATGACAGGCTAAGGCCCAAGACTATAGCGCTTCTGAGGGCAGCGAGATCTTAGGCCGGTTCTGGGGTTCGCGCTCCGGGGACCATGCCATGGCGGGCGGCTGTCGACACAGGGCCCAGCAACAGTGTCACCGCATGATTTCCAAAAACTCCTGCATCGCCCCTACATCTCCCTGAAGAAACGTTGAAACATCTGTCTTCATCGGCATCAAAGACTTAAATTCTGTAAATGCACGGACTCAGGCTCGGAAAGTCTTGCACCTCGCGAGTCCCTGCCGCCCCAGCCTGCTACGATAAATAAGGGGAGAAACGTGGTAATTAAGGGCTTGAGGTTTGCGAGTTGGGTGTCGGTGGTTTGCTGCCTCGGGTCATAAGATAAGACAAGATGAGGAGCAGTAGAAGACGGTCATCAACCTGCTACAGCATTACGCATCCCAACATGCGGTTCTTTCATCCCACACTCGCCAGCAGCCCATGTAGGAAAGATGTATATAACAGGGAGTCTACCGCTACGCGCAGGGATAACATGGGTACAAAGGGTGACATGCTGTGGATGGACTTTAAATCCCAGAATGTAAGGCACATTAGTTGGTGCAAGATGTCCTGCGCCCAGTGTAGGCCTAAGGTTTTGAGGTTAGGGTTTTGGGTCGAGGCTTAGGATGCAGAGCCTAGGTTGTAGGACTTTCAGGAACTGCAGTATGCGGATGCTTCAGTCGCACGATTGGTGTTCTACAGTCTGACGAGGCTTGGGATTCAAGAAGAGCAGGCAAGACGCCAAGGCGCGGTTAGTTCAAGACTCGTTGGCTTCACGGAGTGTGGGACGGCTGCAGCCTCTCTTCTGTCCCAGCAGCTAAAGACTCTTGTCTGTCAGCCGCACACTGAAATTCAAATGGATCCTGCAAGGCCCCTAAAAGAAACATATGTGGCACCTTTTCTGACCCCCCGCCCCCCACCGTCTACAATTCCCTGCATCTCTGAATCACAACCCTTTACATCCTGGATGATAGAACACAACCCTGCCCCACCCGATAAACAGAGCCAGGGATGCGGTCGCCCTTACCTCCCTTCTGATTCTTCTGGTAGCCCTGTCAAGGCAATTGAGCTGAAGGGTGAACGGAGATCCAAACCCTGAGCAAGCACCACAAGTACCATGAAATGAGTTGAGGTGGATGTCCGGGGGCTAGGGGCGAGGATCTGGAGTTTAAGCGCTGGAAGTAGAGTTTTTTGGGTTTGGGGCGTGGAGTTTGGGATTTACTGTACACAGCCTGGAGCTTCCTGCGTCCCCAAACCCTCAAATCCAAGCCCGCTTCTGCTTCGTCCTTCCAGAAAATTGTCCTAGAACTGGACGCAGCTTAGATCTCTGAAGGCGGCATACTAGCTGCGGCGATGGCTATACTCCTTTGGAGAATCTCCTGTACAAGCCCAAGTGTCTGACCCCGAAAGCTCTGGATCCCGATTTCTCCTATACATCATCTGCTATGCTGGAATCGATTCCGTCGCTCGCGGATCCCCCGGCGTTGTATCCCTGACCCCCCGATCTCTTTGCTTGTAAGCAGCCTGCCTGCCGATATGCCTCCTGCTTCAACTCCTGGCCACTCTATGGTTCAGAGACAGCTGGCACAGCTTGGAAGAAGGATGATTTGCCGGGTACTTCTTGGACCTGTATGAACTTTGAGACTACACAGATGTCATGGATTTGAAGCATGATGACCTCTAATGGCAGAATGGAAGTTGAAGTCTTGAAAGAATAACTCTTCTTACGAAACCTCCACCTGACCACAGTTTCCATCCTGTTTTTCAACTTGATTTCCAGCGCTACCTCTAGACAGTAGGTCAGTAGCCAAGCAGGTCGCAATATCACATCTTGACATCGTGGCCGGCTGCGACATCAAAAGACACACTTCCCAAGCCTTGGGCCTTGGGCCTCGTGCCTCTTCAAGTTGAGGATCTCGAAAGCTCCTATCTTGCGACAACAAATCCCCACGTTCGTCCCCTTCTGCGCTCCCCGCGCGCAAGGCCACAAACCGAATCTCCCACCCATTCACAGAGGGCAAATTTCAAGTGATGAGGTATCATCCTGCTTGATCTGGCACGAGACTCCGCACGTCCCTGCTTCATAGAGCCCTCAAAATCAACCAGAGTTGTGAAGAGAGAGACTGGCCCCTGCAGCAGTAACCTATGGACGCTTCCACCACGCATCCTAAACTCCTCAAACCGCCCAAATCAGAAATGTTACACATTTCCAACGGCCCGCGTCAAAAAGCCGGTGCCCTCCAGCACGCGTGTGAACCGTGTAACAGAACAGGTGGGGCTGGTTCGAGCAGCATGGGACTGTCTAGCATTTCACATATATGCAGCCAGGCGGATGCCCCAAAGCAACTCTACTCGAGACCATCTGAAGTCCTAAAACCTGACATCTACAGAAGTAGGTAACCTGCCCCGGTTATGGTCCCAAATGCCCCGCACCTCGGGAACGGTCTGACCTGCGCCCTCCAAAACTGTCACCAGTTCTGGCAGCGGGAGGAGTCATCATTGTTGTGACTTTCTAGCAAGCATTCTCGCGAAGATGCTCCTCAATTACCCGAGAAAATCCATCTGTCTGGTACTACACAGCTTGCGAACATTACTGGGCGGTTTAACCGTTAAGTGGAGCAGTTCTGCAATGTTCTTGGCACCACAGTGACAGGGTGTCCGTCGATTCAAAGTTTCCGGTATGCTCATTCTGGGCGTATCTTGCCACGCACATCACTTTATTGGATGGTTGAAGCTGCACGAGGCCCAACGCCGACGCAAGTCAACCTGTTCTGAGCATCTTCTTATAATATAGAGAAACTTGCGTGCAATCTACAAAAAAAACGTCTTTCCCAATCATCGCATCTGGTCAAACTCTTGCTGGGAAATCAGATCCAACTTCGTAACTGCTACAGGCCATTACAGCAGACCTGTTAGTACCCTTCAAGGGTTCAACTGGTTTTCCACTTGTGGCGGAACATCGTAAAGGGTTTGGCAGCATGCTTCTGCTATACACAGGATGTCTTGGCAGTCGCCTTTGGCGATGGCCGGGCGCAAAACGCACATGGTGCTGTCGTGCCCAGTCAGGGGCCGCACTGTTGGGAACCAAGCACCAAAAGCAGCAGCACGCTATCCGCACCACCGCTGAGGCCAGTGCTACTTGGCGAGGGTATTGCCGCGAGGCCCTTGCGAGAGCCTCTGCTGGCGCGTTCCGAAGAACCAAAACTCAACGAATTAAGTATTCTGGCTGACAAACAAAGCCCTTGGGGCCCGAATGGCTCAGGAAAACTAAATGAACTCTGAAGCTCAGCTAGCTACACATGCTGTATACAGAAGAAGGGTTCAGGCAACTCACAGCTCGAGTTTGGGAAGGTCCTCGGCTTTCTTGGGCGCGGCTTCCTCATCGGCCTTGCTGTCCTCCTGGCAGCCCACAACTTAAAGCAGGCTCTCGAGGATCGCTGGTTTACTGTACCCCTTCAGAGCAGAACAAAGCATTACATCATGAGCAGTTCAGTCCCACGAGATGAATCCCCCCTCCGGTCCTGGGCCTTGGCCTTCTCAAGGTTCAGCCTTGGCTGAACCATTTTTAATGTGGTCTATCCAAAAGTTGTGAGCCAATTCCAGGGTGGCCATACAAACTGCGACACCTAATCCTACTCTAGGGTACTAGGATGGGCGTGCAATTTCGAAAACTATCCATGCGGCATGCATGTGCAATTGAGGAGCCTTGACCCCGCCGGGTTTCTGAAGTCTAGCTGAGGCACACAAGCACAAAGCCTTCTCAAAAAACAACGAAATGTTTCTGCTTTCTGTCCCCAGCTCCTATATTCCTCAAAAACCCTGCTCAGCTCCTGATTGGTTGCTGCGGTAGGAGCTGCTGAAATTGCCCCAGATTGGCCCAACACTTACCCTCCCCCTGACAACATGCTGCCAACCAAGGACACTTTAGCAACTTGAGGCTGCCACCTGTAAGCAAATGCTGTACTTTCCTCCGAAACCTTCACAAATGCCTCACACACCTCAACATCTCAGACTTCAATAGGACCACATCAGCAAACACAGAAAATGCCAGCGTGAGCCAAGCAACAAGTCTGGCGCCTCAGGGCTAAGTTCCTGGCGCGAAGAATTCGCAAGAAAAATGTCCCCAAATCATGATCCTTTTCAATCCTTTTCTTGGATTCCTGTCGTGGCAACACCTTCTGCCTGTCAGGGGAATGGTCTTCAGGGGCCCCTCCTGATATTGGCAAAACGAATCGAGACTGTAAGGACATGGCGCATGGCAATGGGAAACCCAGGGGTACTCGCCTGATTTGCAGCTAAAGCGGGGCTCATCTCTCTTCAGAAAGTCTGAATCAGAAAGGGGACGGACGTAATTTGGCAGGCAAGGAAAGAAGTGGGTAGGGAAGTGTTTTGGTTGGATTGATGAATCTGCAACTCTGACGACTAGCTCAAGCTTCAGTGGGGCTTCCGACATGGGCGTTTCCAAAAATTCGGTGCTCTCCATAAATATCCCAGAATACAAGCATCTTTACGAAAGGTACTCCCCGCAAGGGGCCTGCAGTTGTTGTAGATCTACATCAACTCCAAGGACCCGTCACGAATCGAAACTGGGAGGGCGCCTCGTCATCCTGGTCCTCAGCTGGGTGGGCATCGAGCTGTTGCAGCTCCTCCTCTGTGAACATCCACCTCATGGCCTGCACGCGGGTGTAAGGTTTGCTGAGTCTTACCAAGTGTCCCGGGCTGGGAAACTGGCATGTTGACGAGGGCTTAAAGGCACGGATTCCACATGAAAAGCGCATGCATTGGCTTGACATCCCCAACCTAGCCGAAAGCACACCCTCACGAGGCTACCTTGCCTTGCGGATGATGGCCAAGGAGGCCATGAAGAAGGGGAACACCACGGAAGTTTCTTTGATGGCTTTCAAGCCGTAGAGGATGGCCAAGCAAATCACCTGCAGGTAATGCTAAACTGCCACGTGAGACAAAATTCATAAAAGTGACACCATTTCAGCTGCAAAGAGCGCTTGCTGCAGTTATACCCTTTAGGAAAACGAGCACCTCACCCTCATGAGAAAAACGGGGCGGCAAAAAAAAGACAGAGCCTAGATCAATACATGTACAACAGGGACACACTCGTGAGATTACTGAAGCATTCGCAAGTTCTTTCCAGTCCGACTGCATAAGCTACTCGAGTAGCACCTTACCACTTGGAGCTGCGGCCGTCTGCATAATCTCTGTGAGCGGTAGGGGCGTGTAGGTTTTGCACATCAAGGGTCGGGGGTGTCACAAGACGACCATAAACAACTATGGATGCACATGGGGAAGGGGCGTCTGCAGTATACAGCTTTCAAATTCAGTGTATGTGGACTGCGGTGTCCAAGCGCTTAGCAGCATCTGCGTGTAACGACATAACGATACACCTTTTTTTTGGGCAGCCATATTGTCCTGGTTGGGCTGCAGTGATCAAGGGCGAGTGACCTTTAAAGTGACACTACATACTTTCCTTGTCCGAGTGCAGCATGAAAGTGCCCGCGCTCCTCCACGTGCCTGTGTCGCGACCCAGGACGAGAACCATGCTTGCGCAAGGTTGGAGCGGATCCTTGCAGTGGCCCACACGTGGCTCTAAGCGCTGGAGATGGCAATGGGTCGAGGCCCAGGAACATCCTCGGCCCCATCGCCGCGCATCTTTGTGCCAAGTTTAGGTAGGCGATCGCGTGTCAACATGGTCAACTGACTTGGCACGGGACCACTTCGCTCACAGCAGGCTGCAAGTTCAACGAAAGCATGTCAAGCATTACTGGCGATGCTAGCAATTTCGCAAACGTGCCACTGATCAACGCCTGCAACTCTTCAACGCTGCTGATTCGCCACTTGCACAAGATCTCGGACATGTAGGGGCGCCAGTCGGCATCACTAGCACAATGTGGCACAAATTGTGCCCCTGCACTCTTCTGCCTGTCAAGTCTGGTCATTCGCGACGCCACATCGCGCGCCATTAATCCTTAATCAGGACAAGAGCATCTTCTGCGCAGCTGGCTGTTGTGTGCCTCTGGGGATCCTCAGGGATGGAACCCTTGCGCAGTACGAACGGTTCTGCGCGAAGCAATGTAAAGCGGCAGAGTCCGACTCTTGGATTTTACTACGGCTCCATGCGCTACATCTACTGTACTGCGTTGATGTTGTTCTCCGTGTGTTTGCGCGAACTTTCACTGGGTGTTGCTCACCAGGTGTCCAGGGGCCCCGGCCACGTTGGCACACGCACAGGTTGCGGTTGACTTCGTTTGCTTGCTTACTTGCCAGCAAGCTCCATCCTGCGCGTCTCTTGAAGTTTTCCAATTGGATTTCGAAGCCATTGCACAAGAGAAGAAACCATGCAAAAGTCGTCATCTTCCCATTGGTGGCATCTTCTTTGAGTCATGTCATCCGCACCGTGCCGGCATGCAAAATTGAGTGCAGACTCTTAGCATGTTTCCAAGTGCTGCCCATGTTGCATCAAGTTCTGCCTGCGTCACCATCTGCGGATAAATGGGTTCTGCAACCTCTGCCAGTTCTCAGAAAAGAGAAGATCCGATGTGTGCTTATGAAGACCTTTCGGGCATCCCTCGAAACATCGTTTTTGCTGGCAGAAGCCTGCAACTAACTAGTCTTGAGCCAGTGCCCGCCGCACGAGAAAAACTTATTCATTTGACACCGCTTCAGCTGCAGAGAGCGCTCGCTGCAGCTGTACCCTGTAGGACAAGTAGAACAATACTCCTTTTTTGCTATCGCCGTGCGCGCTCCGGAGCGCGCGTTGGCGCTTGCCCTGTGCTTCTTAGGTCTCT